GCTGCTACAGCTACACAAGATTTTTCTTCTCCTCCACCTTCCAGGACACGTGGCAATTGTCCCCGCTGTCTGGTCACTGCTTGCTCGAAAGGGGTGACAGCCAAGAATGTACCGCTTACAACCAGATCAGAAATATCTGGTCCTTCAAGTGTCTTCTATGTTTGCCTCAACATCACAGCAATAAGGCATGATATAAGGACTTTGAAAACGCTTTTAAATCATATCTTGTTCCATTGCCCAATACGTAAGGCAATAAACCATCTACATTACGTGGACTGAGGAACCTGGTGGAAAAACTCGCTGGAGAGCTACGGCTGTGCAGTTCAGCCAGCCGGGCTAACGATGCCGAATATCCCCAACCGCAGAGAGGAAATAATGCAAACAGTCACTGAAATCCCAGTCACATTAGGCAGCCACTCATGGGGAAAAAGAAAAGGTTTTAAACTGCCGCAGGAGCCCCGAGTCATTAGTTTTGTCAGGAATTCTACTTTCTCAGATGACAGGGGAAAAAGCCTTCAGATCTGCAGATTCGGAGAAGGCCCGAGAGAGAGGCGAGCTGAGCGCTTAGCGGGGCTGTCAGTCGTGGAAGCTGATTATTGTTAATTTAGCATTTTATATAAGAACGTGAGAGATCCTTATCAATGCCCAAAACAAACCCTCTGCAAGTTTCAACACCTAACTGATTCCAGTTAGGGGGGAGGGGGAAGGAAAGCTGACCAAATGCTGGATTTTCTCTCTGTCTCTCTTTACTCGCCTTAATTTTTTTATAATATTTACAAGCATGAATTTGTACAATTGGTAGGAAGCAGAAATTAATAGCTCATACGCACACGTGCAAGAAGGATTTCAACTGCTGCTAAAGAGTGTCACAAAAATGACTACAATTTTCTTCTCAGAGTAGTTAACTAGGAGTAATTCCACTGCGGAAACTTAAGCGACGTGGAAAAAGATGTTTGATTCAATCCGACTGTAAGGGAATAAAAATACATCTGTCCTAAGCAGCATCTGTCAGCAGAAATGACGATGGGAACTCTTGCGAGAAGAATAAAAGCTTGTAATAAAAAAAAAAAAAAACAAAAAACCAAAAACGATCTAAGCCATGACATTGTATGTGACCAGTATAAAAATCCATCAGGCTAATGCAAGTTTCCACAGAGACCATGTGCTATCACAACGTATATATGTTTTTAATTAAGCCGAGATGGTGATGGTCACATTTTGTACTGCTGCAAATCCAGCTAATAAAGTGAATTGTTAGAAGCTGTTGCAGAGCTTACTGAAAAAAAACCCAAAAAAGTATTTATAAACTACATTCACCTTCCATTTCTGGATTTCACCATTATAATAGGGCGCTGAAAAGCTCAAATTAGGGGGTTTAAGACTCTGCTGTTCAATTCTTCCACGTTCAAAAAATGACCAACAATGAGCAGGGTAATAAAAGTGCAGAGACAGCTCAGTGCCCATCTCAGCGACCGCCGTTTTCAGGGTGATCAGGTTTAAATCGTGATTTCTGACGGTTTACCTTCAGGCTCTTCAGTCCTCACCTCCTAGCACAGGCCTGAGACAAGTCGCTCTCAGCTTTCATATCTGCGATGAAAAATGGAAATCCCACGGGAAATCCCAATGGGAAACCCCTTTCCTTCCCTCCCCAGGCTGCTGTCCCCGTTCCAGACGCTCAAGCCGCCCACATGCCCGCTCCCAAAATGCTGTGGTTTATACCCAAAGCAGCAGCAGCGATTGCTGTCTGATGCCATAAGTGCTGCATCTCACCCAGCTGTCCCAACCGCACAGCTCATCGCCCCTGGCCATGGTCATGGCCACCCAAAATCCCCCGTCTGCTCGAGACAGAGCCCTTCCAACTGTCCCATGCACCGACACATGCTAAAATAAAACAAGCACCTAAATCCTTGCAAGATCAGCACCTGCCATCGGTCTGAATAATCCCCACTCATTTTCAAGTCATTAATTATTCTTAACGCCTGTGTCGCATGGCTTTAATTATGTTTTCCGCCAAAGGAGTTCAATCTTGACCAAAAAGCAACAGCCTTAGCTGGAAGAGCTCACTGTAAAGGAAAACGTATTTGCTGTGACTCCAGTGGGTCATCAGGTCTGGGCCACAGAGGTGGAATTTAATTTCTGATCTGGAGATTTCAAGCCTTCGGAATCGGCTGTAGCTAAAGGGATCAGAGGGAAGCTGGGCAGAAAAGCAGCTTTCCGAGCAGCACAATAAAAACCATGCTTTGAATTCACACTAGGAGTGAGGTTTCAAGGCAAGTTGCAAATATTCTTGGTAGCATTCCCGCAGAAGGTGATTTTTTAAGAGGTGGGTGTCATGAAGTGAAGCAAATGAAGAAATGACTCAAAAAATACGTTGTCTCCCGTAAAACACTCCCTGCGCAGTATCACAGTGACAGTTCAAATCCTGTCCCCCATTCATCATCCATAATACTCAGTTTTTATTTATGCTGTCCTACATTAATGTATAGCAGGTCTGAAATTAATACTCTTCATCAGTACCTATGGAATGAAGACCTTTTCCTCTGAAAATAAAAAAGTTTGCGACACCAACGCAGTGCCCCTGCGGAGCGCAGACCTGCACCTCACCTGAAAATGGGCAGCAAAGAGAAGCAACACGCAGTGAGAGCCAGGGGGAGGTGGGGAAGAAATGGAAAGTCAGACGGACCTTCTGCTCCGCGGGCTCTGTCAGCATGAAGATAAGGTGTCCCACCGCCAGAGCAGCCTGCGAGGCCATCTCAGTGCGTTCTCCTCCCGCAGCCGGGGAAGGACATTGATTGAGCTCTGCGAGGCATCACGGGACCAGTGTGTGTCAGGCTGTGACAAACTTCTAAGGGAACGTGCAGCAAACACGCTCGGAGCCTGTCTGGGTAAATCAAAGAGCAGAGGAACCATCCCAGCTGTTCATGCCACCGCAGAGTAAGTTAATATTAAAGTATTTTGTCTGCGGCTACACAAGGGATGCGGCCAGCTGCCTGCTGTAATGAGCGTCACACCAGAGAGGATCTTTGTTCTCCGGTCCCTAGTTTGCCACCACTGGTGGTGACATGCACCTGTGTCCCAAGGGTGGCCAGAGACTTGGAAACGTTTGCAAATCCTTGCGTCCGAGGAGGTGCCCCGCAAACAGCGTAAGCATGGCCAGTGCGCCAGGAGATCCAACAGCAATTCCCAGCAGTGTCACAAACTCACTATACATCCCACAGTGAGCTGCTAGTTTAGCTCCTCATACTTAAAATGAGCAAATATTCTTCTCTTCACCTATATTTTCCTATAGGAAAGACATGGACCTGTTGGAGTGGGTCCAGAGGAGGGCCACGAAGATGACCTGACGGCTGGAGCACCTCTCCTATGAGGAGAGGCTGAGAGAGTTGGGGCTGTTCAGCCTGGAGAAGAGGAGACTCCGGGGAGACCTTATTGCGGCCTTCTAGTCCCTAAAAGGGCTACAGGGGAGCTGGGGAAGGACTCTTTACAAGAGCATGTAGGGATAGGACAAGGGGGAATGGCTTCGAACTGGAAGAAGGTAGATTTAGATTAAATATTAGGAAGAAATGTTTCACTCTGAGGGTGGTGAGGCATTGGAACAGGTTGCCCAGAGAAGCTGTGGCTGCCCCATCCCTGGAGGTGTCCAAGGCCAGGTTGGACGGGGCTTGGAGCAACCTGGGCTGGTGGGAGGTGTCCCGGCCCATGGCAGGGGGTTGGAACTAGATGATCTTCAAGGTCCCTTTCAATCTAAACCATTCCATGATTCTATGATTCTATACCCGATTTTTTTTAGATAACAACAAGCGTATCCCTAGTAAACCTACCACCCACCCAAGTTGTATCTAGACTCCTAAGACATCTCAGGGTTTCTATCATACCATTCTCAAGGTCTGGAGGGCAGAAAGGGTTAAGAACCAACTCAGATTCTCTAGGGAAAATAGAAAGGCACCAGAAAAGAAGCCAATTCAACTCATTTTACCGAAAGGGACAAAAGGAGGTTTAGAAGGTCCTTTATAAAACGTCACAGAGAAAAGCTTTATTGTCCTACAGGGAAAAACATAGCCATTAACAAATTAGGTGAGAGTCGAGTGAGATGTCAGAGGTCTGAAGCAACTGCATTCCT